ACTCATTGCACCCAGCTAAATCAGCCCTAATTAGTAGAATAAGAACCAAACAGCTGAGCTCTTGTCCTGGGGGCCAAGGCTCTGGTATGTGCCTCCCATTACTACCAGGGGATGTGCAGGGTGGGGAAAGGAACACAAAGGGATGAAGTGGCTGAGACTTCTCCCAGCATATGGCCTTTGGGTATCCTGCCCTCTCCTGGGTGGACAAGAGTATAAGCACAGCTGCCAGAACTACTGGGTTCTAGCCCCAAAGCCCAACACAGGGAATACTACAAATTATAAAATTAACAACAAATATAAATGATATAATTTATTGAGCTCTGTGCATCTCCTTGACTTCACAGCCTTCACAACAACATTACTATAGAATTACATATTGTTATATAATTCTAACAATAAGTATAAATAATATAATTTCTTGAGCTATTCCACTTACCACTCACAACCACCCTTAAGAAGGTGCTGTTACTATCTTCACTTTCAAAAAAAATAAACTGAGTCTCAAGGAGGGAAAGTGACTTGCTCAGTATCATACATGCCTCAAGCACTTATCTACATGTGGATTGGTAGAAGAGGAGCTCAACTAAATATCCAGTTCTACCTACAGTTTTGTGATTCTGCAAAGTCCTTGCAAATGCATAAAAGAGGCTTCAGCTTCAGCACACTATGACCTGTTTTTGAGAGTATAACCTTCACTTTTCTGGAGTCAGGTGGAACTTTCTGTTCGCTCTGGTCCTGAGCTGGCCCAGTGGCATCTGCTCTCATGAATGCTAATTTATGTCCATTGTGTGAAGCTCCACCCCCTTGGCTGCAGAGTCATTGGGCCATCTGCTCAGATCACCACTGCTACACTCAGGTCATAGATGGCAGGATCATGACTCATCTTCTGCTTACTTTCCTGAGGGCTCAGAGCAAAGGGGAGACTGATCTCTGACTCAGCTTCTCCTCCTCTCTGCCAGACATTGATGACTGTGTCTGCAGTCCCTGTGAGAATGGAGGCACCTGTATCGATGAGGTCAATGGCTTTGTCTGCCTTTGCCTTCCAAGTTATGGTGGCAGCCTCTGTGAGAAAGGTGAGTACTTACCATAACCCCAGAAACAGTACCAGCAGTAGAGTTGCATGCCCAGCTGCAGGAGTTGCATGCCCAGCTACTGGTCTCCCCTCCCCCCACACACACACTCCAGGTCTTTTTTTTTTTGAGACAGAGCCTCAAGCTGTCCCCCTGGGTAGAGTGCTGTGGCATCACAGCTCACAGCAACCTCCAACTCCTGGGCTCAAGCAAGTCTCCTGCCTCAGCCTCCCAAGTAGCTGGGACCACAGGCACCTGCCACAACGCCTGGCTATTATTTTTTTGGTTGCAGCGGTCATTGTTGTTTGGTGAGCCCAGGCTGGATTTGAACCCGCCACCTTAGGTGTATATGGCTGGCGCCTTAGCTGCTTGAGCCACAGGTGCCAAGTCCACACTCCAGGTCTTTATCCCTGGTTTCATGGCTGTGAGTCTAACACAAGGTAAATTGTTATTTTGTGACTGGGTGCAGTGGGTCACATCTGTAATCCTAGCACCCTGGGAGGATGAGGTGGGTGGATTGCTTGAGCTCAGGAGTTCAAAACCAGCCTGAGCAAGAGCAAAACTTTGCCTCTAACAAAAATAGATGGGCTTTGTGGCAGATACCTATAGTCCCAGCTACTCAGGAGACTAAGGCAAGAGGATGGCTTGAGGCCAAGAGTTTGAGGTTATTATGAGCTATGATACCATGGCATTCTACCCAAAGCAACAGAGACTTTGTGTTAAAAAATTTTTTTTTGTATAAAATGCATGCAACAGGCCAGGCAGAGTGGCTTCACGCCTGTAATCGTAGCACTCTGGGAGGCTGAGATGGGTTGTATTGCCTGAGTTCAGGAGTTCGAGACCAGCCTTAGCAATAGTGAGACCCTGTCTCTACTAAAAATAGAAAAACTGAGGCAAGATGATTGCTTAAGCCCAAGAGCTTAAGTTTACTGTGAGCTATAGTGCCACAGCAGTCTACTCCAGAGCTAGACTCTGTCCCATAAATAAATAAATAAATAAAATTAAACTTAAATGCACATAACATAGAATTAACCATTTAAAAGTATGCAATTCATTTGCATTTTGTATGCTGACAGTGTTGTGCAGCCATCATCTCTATTTATTTATTTATTTTTTGAGACAGAGTCTCACTATGTCGCCCTCGGTAGAGTGCTATGGTATCACAGCTCACAGCAACCTCAAACTCTTGGGCTTAAGCGATTCTCTTGCCTCAGCCTCCCAAGTAGCTGGGGCTACAGGCACCCACCACAACACCTGACTATGTTTTTGTTGTAGTTGTCCTTGTTTGGCAGGCCCGGGCTGGGTTCAAACCCTACAGCTCTGGTGTATGTGGCTGGTGCCCTAGCTGCTGAGCTACAAGTGGTGAGCCATCATCTCTATTTAATCCAGAACTTTTTCAACACTCTAAAAGGAAACCGGGTACTTATTAGTACCTACGCTTCATTCCCCTCTCCCCAGCCTCTTACAACCACCAATCTGTTTTCTGTCTCTATGGGTTTTCCCATTCTAAATGGGTTTTCCCATTTCAGAGGAATGGAGTCATACAATATGTGACTTTTTGTGTCTAGCTTTGTTTGCTTAGCATGATTTTTTGAGGTTCATCCACATTGTAACATGAATCAGTGCTTCATTCCTTTTTATGGCTGGTTGATATTCCACTGAATGGCTATATCACATTTTGTTTTTCTATTCATAACATGGTGAATATTTATTTGCATTGTTTCCTCCTTGTGGCTAATGTGAATAGTGTTGCTACGAACTTTGATGTATGTACAAGCTTTTGTTTGTTTGTTTTGTAGAGACAGAGTCTCACTTTATCGCTCTCGGTGGAATGCCGTGACATCACACAGCTCACAGCAACCTCCAACTCTTGGGCTTAGGTGATTCTTTTGCCTCAGCCTCCCGAATAGCTGGGATCACAGGCGCCCACCACAACACCCGGCTATGTTTATTTGTTTTTCTTAGAGGCAGAGTCTCACTTTGTTGCCCTTGGTAGTGCCGTGGAGTCATAGCTCACAGCAACCTCCAGCTCTTGGGCTTAAGCAATTCTCTTGCCTCAGCCTCTTAAGTATCTGGGACTACAGGCTCCCGCCATAATGCCTGGCTATTTTTTGTTGCAGTTGTCATTGTTGTTCAGCTGGCCTGGGCCAGTTTCAAACCCACCAGCCTGCATATGTGAGGCTAGAACCGTAACCACTGTACCACGGACACTGAGCCTGTCTTTTTCTTCTTTTTTGAAAAGAGTCTTACCCTGTCACCTGGGCTAGAGTGCGAGTGGTATTAGCCTAGCTCACAGCAACCTCAGACTTCTACCTTAAATGATTCTTCTGCCTTAGCCTCCCAAGTAGCTGGGTCTGCAGGCACACTCCATAATGCCTGGCTATTTTTTCTATTTTTTTTTTTTTTTT